AGCTGCACGTGTCCCCATCTGCCAGTAAAGATTGACCTCCCTGGAATCCTATGCCTCCACGGGCAAATGGCTCAAATGGCTCAAGGCCATCGACCATCCCAACCCATGCTCTCCTGTAGAAATCCTAGAGGATGCTGCACCCAAACCACCTGCACCTGCTTTATTGAGGCTAAGCCTGCATGTATCACCACTTTCTCAGTGTACTGTGTGCTCTCCTACTCCCACACCGTACACTGGAAACTACAGTTTTCCTTCCTCCATTGTCTGATCTGGAGGACTCAGATCCTTTCCTGCCACAAATCATCTTCCTCTGCACACTGGGAAGCTCCCCTGCAGCTGGACTGCTGCAAAGCACCAGATACCCATGAACACCAGCCATACCAGGTAACAGGCCAGCTCCCACTGGCACAGCTGTCCTTCTCCTAGCCACACGAGAAGCAGCACAACCACCCAGGGACACTGACTGTTGGTTCAGCCAAGAAGATGCAGGGGAGGATGGGAGGTGCTGAGTACAGCAGATTCATCCCCAATGGGTCCTGCTGTGGGTGAGGATTCCTGCATGTGCCCCCACACTTGTCACAGCTGAATGGCACGTGTGTGTGATGTAACTGAAGGATCCCTAGAGGAGCTTCTAAATCATGGTTGTTCTATTTTTTCCCCTAATATATTTATTGAAAGTCCACAGGCAGGCCCATATAATTCACATCTAAATAGTACCATTGGTTAATTCTCACTTGAACTTTCTCCACTTACTGCTTAACTAAACCACTGTGATGTTAAAGTTTGCAAACAATACCCCAAATGTTTTATTTTTCATTTCTAAGCATTTGATGCCACTTGCCATCCAGAGGATTTACCCCCCTTCCTTACCAGGCCTCTTTTTGCTACTCGGCGCTGCACTAATTCAACTGATAATTGCACGGTCGTGCAATGCTGCACCCAAACAAAATTTACGACCTATTTTTTAAACAAATAGAGCTTTCTTTAAGTGGTATTTGATCACCTGTGCACTTTTTATTTTTCACGCTATAAACAAAAAAAGACCAAACATTTTTAAGAAACTATATTTTTTACTTTCAGCTATAAAAAATATATAGTAAACGCAAAGTTGGTTATAAATTTAGGCTAAAATGTATTCTGCTACATGTTTTTGGTAAAAAAAAATCCCAATAAGTGTATATTGATTGCTTTGTGTGAAAGTTATAGCGTCTGCAAACTATGGTATAGATTCTGCAATTTACGCCATTTTTTTGCTATACAGCGCTGCGCTAGTTTAATGGACAATTGCGCGGTCATGCAATATGGTACATAAATTAAATTTATGTCCTTTTTTTCACACAAATAGAGTTTTCTTTTGGTGGTATTTGATCACCTGTGCACTTTTTATTTTTGGCGCTATAAATAAAAACATTTTTGAGAAAAAAATATTTTTTTTGAAAAAAAACAGTATTTTCTCATTTCGGTCATAAAAAATATCCAAAAAAACTAAAATTTCATCATAAATTTAGGCCAAAATGTATTATGCTACATGTTTTTGGTTAAAAAAAAATCCCACTAAGTGTATATTTATTGTGTGACAATTATAGTATCTACAAACTATGGTATAGATAATGGAATTTACACAGCTTTTACTTTCTGACTGCTCATCACATTTCATGAGGTGCTAAAATGCCAGGATAATACAAACATCCTCAAATGACCCCTTTTTGTAAAGTAGGCATCCTAAGCTATCTGCTGAAGGGCATATTGTGTCCATGGAAGATTTATTTTTTTTCCACAAGTTCCTGGAAAATGACAAAACATTTATTTTTTTTTACACAAAGTTGTCATTTTAAATTATTTATTTCTCGCACAAGCCATGGGCATATGTGGAATTACACCCCAAAATACATTCTGATACTTCTACCGAGTATGAGGATACCACACGTGTGAGACGTTTTGGGAGCCTAGCCGCATACAGGAGCCTGAAATCCAATGACCACTTTGAAAGCCTGAAGGTGCGTAACTTCCTCATTACACTTCCTCATTACCTATCACAGTTTCGAAGGTCCAAACATGCCAGGACAGCACCAAAACCCCCCCCCCCCCCCCCCCCCCCAAATGACCCCTTTCTGGAAAGTAGACACCCCAAGGAATTTAAAAAAAGAGGCATGGTGAGTATTTTGAAGATCTCATTTTTTCTCACAAGGTTTTGAAATATAAAAAAAAAAATAATATATTTTTTTTTTTTTTTTCTTCATTTTCCAAAAACTTGTGGCAACAAATGAGATCTGAAAAATACTTACCATGCTTCTTATCAAATTCCTTGGGGTGTCTACTTTCCAGGGGGGGGGGGTTAGGTGCTATCCTGGCATTTCAGGGCCTCCAAAACTGTGATAGGTAGTCAGGAAGTGTAATGATGAAATAAAGCCCTTTAAAAGCCTGAAGATGCTTATTGGATTTTGGGGTCCTAGACTGCCAAAACGTCTCTCACATGTGGTACCCCCATACTCGGGAGAAGTAACAGAATGTATTTTGGGGAGTAATTCCACATATATCCATGACATGTGTGAGCAGTAAATCATTTAAGTGACAATTTTGTGTAAAAAAAAAACAAACATTTTTTTGTTTGTCATTTTCCAAAAACTTGTGGTAAAAAAAATTAATTCTTCTATTGATTCAACATGCCTCTCAGCAAATAGTTTGGGGTGTCTACTTTCCAAAAAGGGGTCGGTTTGGGGGGTGGTGGTGTTTTATGCCCAGCATGAGAAGTTTATGCCACACATCACTCACTCTTCTAACCACCTGAAGACCAAGCCTTTTCTGACACTTTTTGTTCACGTGAAAAAAATCAGTCTTTTTTGCTAGGAAATTAATTTAAATCCCAAACATCATATATTTTTTTAAAGTAAACATCATAGTGAATAAAATGGTGGGTACTGCAATTTTTTATGGCACATAGTACTCGAGCAGCGATTTTTCAAACGCAATTTGTTTATAAAAAAATACACTTTTTTTACTTTTAATGCACAAAAACACAATATACTGGCCAATTATTTGGTAAAATATAAAAGATGATGGTATGCCGAGTAAATAGATACCAAACATGACATGCTTTAAAACTGCGCATGCCCCGTGCAATGGTGACAAACTGCATATGTTTTTAATATCCATAGGCAATGTTTAAAAGTCTTTACAAGCTACCATTTTAGATTTACAGAGGAGCTCTAGTGTTAGAATTACTGCCCTTGATCTGAAGTTCGTGGTGATACATCACATGCATGGTGCAACTGCTGTTTCCATACTGGCACAGGGTCAACGCTCATGAACGCAGGTGCGCGCATGCATGGGGGGCGAGGGTACTTTTTTTTTAAGTTATTTTGATTTTTTTAATAATTTTTACACTGTCCTTTTAATTTTTTTTTTTGATCACTTTTAATGCTATCACAGGGAATGCAAATATCCCCTATAACTTCAATGGGCATTGTCATATATTCTTTTTTGAGAAATCTGGGGTCTATCAGACTCTAGATCTCTCCTCTGCCCTTACATTATTTAATCAAACCAAAATCGGTGTGATCAGATGCTTTCAAAATTTACAAATGGCGCTGTTTTATATTCTGCGAAACTGAAGTGACAAAATGCTCGTAGCTTCCTAATTCTTAGACTATAGAGATAATTGGCACCATTCTGGTCTCCAATCAGCTCTATGGTCAGCTGGCAGAAACACTGGTTGCATTTTCAGGTTCCCCCTATGGCTCGGGACTGCCCGAGAAGTCCATGGAAGGCAGCGGGGAGGGGGGGGGGGGGTAATATTTCCTGCTGCTTGTAAAAGCAATCCTGCAGTTAATTAGCCACTAGGATTGCTTTTACATGAAAACTGATCACCAGCTGAAAAAAAAATATACCAGGATGATGCCTGCAGCTGTAGGCATTATCCTGGTATAACCACTCAAAGTCCAGTGATGTACCAGTACGTCGCTGGTCTTTGTTGGGTGTATATGCTATGTTCTTTTGGGGTTTTTTTTTTATGCAGCCTGTGGACTGAATGAAAAAAAAAGAGAAGAAATCTCTGCCAAAAAAAGCGTGTGGTATGCCCACCATTAAAATATACCGCCCTGCATCCACGCACTTCTAATGGTGGGCACACATTAGGTCACACTTTGCCACAAGTGCCAGTTCCAAGATAGTACAAATGTCTAAATAGTGGCACGCTTGAATAAAAATTGCCCACGTATAAGTGGTACCCCATATGGAGAAATGATGACACCAAGTCCCAACTATCTTGCCACTACTCCCCATGTAGTCTGGGCATCCAGGGGGCTCCACGTGACTATCTTTTTCTTCGTAAATCCAAAACTTATAAGTATAGCCTGTTGCCCTCTCACAGGTCTTCTACATCTTGTCCCCATATCTGGCATGCTTGCAGGGGAGAAATTGTTTGAATGCAAGGCGGACAGAAAAATTAATGAGGGACTCATTGACGCAGATGTTTTTCTGGGGAGTATAGACATCTGCAAATTTTAGGTTAAGGTGATTTGCGAGGGGCTGAATTTTGTGGAGCCGGTCAAGTTCAAGGTCACCCCGAGGATGACAGAGTGTATTGTCGTTGAAATGCATAAAACACATTATACTCTCATATCTATGTCTGGCCATGGCAGCAGAGAACACGGTATATGATGAATCGGGTCTGTGGACCAATACAACTGGAATTCATTTCTTTTAGTAATGCCCATGTTGAGGGTTAGGCCCCCCAAAAAAGTAAATTCGGAAACCGTAATGGGTTTCCATGCAAATGGTCTGGCAAAGTTTGAATTTTGGTTGGTGGCGATAAATTGTGGTGCATATACATTGCTTTGATCCACAATCAATGCGTACAGATATTCTGTGAAAAACAGCTCAAAAAATCAAGGGGCGTTGTTAAATTTTCTATTTCCACCTGAATTCCAGGTTGGGCAGTGAACGGGGGAAGTACAAGTGCTGCAAAAATTTGTGGACTGCCAATCGGGATTTGTAAGCACATCCAGAAGGATATTAGGGGCTCTACGAGCCTGTGTGCGAATTCTTAGTGGCTGCAGGACAAGACAATACTTGTGCTCGCCACCGCACCAGCTTGTACTGCACTTATTGGACTCGCCACGTCACCAAGTCATACTGCAGTGCTGGTATTATTATTATTATACAGGATTTATATAGCGCCAACAGTTTTGCTCAGCGCTACAATATAACGGGAGACAATACAGCAACAATACAGTTCAATATAAGAGGGTTAGGAGGGCCTGATCCTGGGAGCTTACAATCGAAGAGGCTGCATATAAGAGTCATCAAAATTTACCGCCAAGTGCTAACAGTGATCAGGCCTGATTCTGTGAACAGTGCAGTTTTTTGTGTGCAATGTATCAAGTGACAGGGACCTACTGACACTGCACTTGCTGGGGGAGAAGGGGCGGGTGGGGTAAGCGTTGGGGCTAAACGCAGGTGCTGGCAGGTGTCGGGGCTGATCCCGTTAACGCTGCGTTTTTGAGGACGCTATACTAATGTGAACACTGGTATAGTGCTGATCTGATCAAAGATATTGATCCGTTCAGACACTATACTAGCAATGGAGATTTATTGTATATGAGCGTGTTGCTGGTAATCAAGGGGTTAAATGTGATGACTGGTGTACTGATGGGCAATCTGACGCCATCTGGGAGGGGTGTGAAAACCACAGGAGCACAAATCACATGTATATACTATATATATATATGTGTGATTTTGCGCACCTGTGCCACCCTGTAGCAGTATTTCTGCTATAGGGCAGTCAGGAAGCAGTTACAGAAGTGGCTTGTGTTACGTGGCTGCGTTACTTTAACTGACAATTGCACGGTCATGCAACAATGCACCCAAATTAAATTTCCGTCCTTTTTTCCCACAAATTGAGCTTTCTTTCGGTGGTATTTGATCGCTGTGCGGTTTTTAAATTTTTTTAATTTTTTGCGCTATAAAAAAAAGGCTGACAATTTTGAGAAAAAAACAATATTTTGGACTTTTTGCTATAAAAAATGTCCAATAAAATTCGGCCAAAATGTATTCTGCGACATGTCTTTGCTAAAAAAAAATCCCAATACATGTAAATTAATTGGTTTACGTGAAAGTTATAGCGTTTACAAATGGCGGGAAAGATACTGGGATTTTTTTTCTTATAATAATAATTGTGGCAATCATGGCAGTGATCAGCGATTTATGACAGCGATTAGCGACTTATGGCGGGACTGCGGGCGGACATTTTGACACTGGGGGGGAACTGACTTGGGGTCACTGACATCCCCAATGACACCAATACATTGATCAGTGAAAAAAAAACACTGACACTGTACTAATGGCACTGGGGAGGAAGGGGTTACATTTTTTATTCAATAAAAGGGTTAACTGTGTGAGTGGAGTGTTTTACTAGTGGGTGGGGGGTGTGTACTTCACGGGAACACACTGTCCCGGAAAGCTAATCTCTGTTCTCCGTGACAGTGTGTTAGGAGCTGACAGGGAGCAGAGGTGCAGTGTAAACACTGCAAACGTGCTCTCTGTCAGTGAGTGCCTCTAATCGCTGGGAGCCGGTGGGTAATGACCCATCGGGATCTGGTGATGGACACTCACTGCCACGATCGGCGGTGCAGGTAGGGCAGGCATGCGCCACGCGCGTGCCCCCTACCTGTTTTGCTAGACGCCGTTTTTTTACGTGCTCTAGCACAGCGGTGGCGCCTTGCCACAGTATATACACTGCGGCAGGTAGGCAAGTGGTAATGCAAAGTAAGATCAAAAGTATTACTGAGACTTATGGATAATCCCATAAAAAGATAATTATTCATAAAAAAAATAATTAGCGTTTTCACTAACTAGTCATCCAGATATGGACTCAACATACAGCCATATGGCAACCTATTTGGACAAGGATTGACAATTAATCTTATCCTCTGCTTTTTTGATAATTTAAAAAAATTAAATCCTGACATACTATCATACCAAAAGGTTGAAATATATCAGGGGCAAGCAGTCTGGGTGTTTGAGCAAATGTAGCAACAACTTCATTTTCTTTAGAAAAAAAATCTTTTGAAACAAGGATTTTTTAAAGTAGTTGTAAAGCCTTAATATTTTATTTTTACCTTTAGAGCATTCTCTGTATTAAGGTAAAAAGATTTTCAGTATATGTATCACTCCCTCACGCCCCCTTATACTTACATGATGTGACGTGCCCCTCTGCAGTGGCCTCTCCACTTCTCTCCACTCTCAAAGACCATGCTTTACAAATGCTTTAAGCACCACCCATACAGTATAAACTCAAAATTATTTTCCTTAAAAAAAAATCCAAACTTCTATTACAATATCATTCTAATTTTGTTTCCACAGACATCAGAGATAGCAGACTCCTGATCTGTTTCACAGCTAATGCTGCTTCCTCAGGAGTTATCATTAAGAAATCTACAATAAGTGTATAATAGGTTTTTTTCAGGTAAGTATGCTATAGCAAGTCCAATTAACATTTCTTGCATTTAGTGACATAAAGTCACAACAAAAAACCAATAATAATAAGTCTTACCTCGACTTTTAAAATCAGCCGGGCGCAACAATGTGTACCATGTAAGTCAAACATCGAAACAATTCTTCCATCTTCCCACATGTAGACCACTGTCATATGCAAAGCCTTGAAAATGCAGGTAGAAGAGAAGTAAACCAGAAACTGCAGCCCATTTGGCTAATACTAGTTAATAATGGAGAGCAGTAGAGCTAAATGTCAGAAAATGTACATGTGGGAACCTCTAATCGTACTGTTGGACAACAGCCATCTAAATATTAGATGCAGTTATCAAGGGCAGCTTGACCACTGATAATCTTACTAATAATATACAATGTAGTCTGCCAATTCTCTTTAAGGTGGACTCTGGTTATAATGTAAACCCATACATATAAGTAGCAAGGGATGTAAACATGCATGGGGAATACTCCTCATACTGACAAATCAACCCCCCTACAAGTAACTTCTACTGACATGGTCCCAACACCCATAAAGTATGTACAGCCTGCTTCCTCAACGTTTCCAAAGCAAATACTAGCAACACATAAAAAAACAACAGAATAATGTACCTCAGACTTAGATGAAAGGACTTTCTATTTGCAACTTAATTTTCTATTTAAAAACAAAAGCTTTAAACATGGTAATGAAGGTGACAGTTGTGAGCCCTCATTACAATGCTATAGTTTAGCCAAACCCAGGTTGCTCCAGTATTGCTGGGCAGCCTGGACTGCATATAGAGGCCAATATATGTAACTAATGACATGTGAAAAAAAAATTAAATGTTACCTTGAAATGCATTACCACCTGCAGTTAATAAATACAATATTTATAACAATTGCGGTTCTTTAACATCTCAAAGGAGTTAATAATAGAAATAAAGGAATAAAGGTAAACTTTTGCTGCTTCAGGCCATTGTGCTTTCAAGTATTTATGTGGTAGGGTATTTGCAGGAGGAATCAGCAGCCATGGTCTATTTTTGTGCAGCAAGATGTATTATTAGCTACATTTTTAAAAATATATGTTATATTATAATTTCACACACTCAGTATAGAGTGATTTGTGCATGACTTTTAATGAAATGCATAGAAAGGCTTGGGGGAATAATGCTTTTTCATCATCACGTTTTCAACCCTATTTTTTATTATGTCCCAAGCAATGCATTTTTTGCTTCTGCAAGATATGGTATGAAAATGAACATGGTTCTACTGTCTGAATGTATTTGTAGGCTATGTTAGTCATGGCATTACAGCTGATTAGTGTGGCCTTGTGACATTACACAGGGCCATCTCTATAGCATCATGGGCCCCTGGGAAAAGTAATGCACTGGGGCCCCTACAAGTCTGCTCCAATTTAAGCACCTACTCTCAAGAATTAAAGCATAAATTGTTGATAGATCTATTAGATTTGTTATTATATTATTAGTTTATTAGATTTGATAGGTCGGTGATGCAACTTCACTGCAACCGCATGCAATGCATGTGGTTTTGGTGGGGTGATGCAACATTTAAGGAGTTAAAACAGGTGGTGAGCAGGTGAAATCTCTTCCTCACTGCCTGACAAATACCTCCAAAGAGAAATCTATGTGTAGATTGTTTTTCAGAGGAGTGGCAGCCTTTTTAAGGCTGTATTCACACATAACACAGAGCTGCTGGAATGATTCAACACACTGGCAGCTCTGCATTGGTGGTGGAGGTCGGGTGATGTGTGATTCAATGCATCACATTGCTCCATTTTTTTGTATGAACTTTATTTGACGTATTAGAAACATACACTTAATTCACAGCAATGTAAAGCAGTGAGATGCGTTGCATTGCTGTACATTGCCGTCTGATTCGGCACGTGCACTGCGATACAATGCAGCATGTCTGCATTTTATTGGAGCACCCTGAAGTGCAGCCATATGCTGCGTTGCAGTGTGAATGGGACACAAAGGGAACACTTGTTCCCTGAGTGTTCCTGAGGTGACAGACGTTTTACAATTCAGTAAAACATCTGTCACCACATATAGTGTGAATTAGGCTACATTCACACTGACAATTAGGGTCTGGGTAAATTGTATCAGCAGTTCCTCCTGCAGCTCTCAATGGCTGTCAGCAGGTAGGTGTGGCTGCTGGCCCTGTTCACTATAATGACAGGTTGCCGGCGGCTACACTTATTTGTGGCTGTCTGCACAGCCAGTGATTACCTGTGGTGATTGCTACTGGATGCAGACAAAGTGCATGCAGCAGTGATCACCGTAAGTAATTGCTGGCTGTGCAAAGATCTATGAATAAGTGCAGCCGCAGACGACCTGTCATTACACTGAATAGGGCCAGTGGCCACACGTGCCTTATGACAGCCGCAGGAGGGACTGCTGTTACTATGCACATCAGCCAATACATGAAAATGTAAAGTGTTTTTAAAATCATCAGTGCTTTAAAAATTTAACAGTAAGGAATTATATTCTAGCCAAATAGTAGCAAAGAGACATCCCCATATATTCAGCAAAGAGATGGCCCAACTTAGCAAAGAGACATCCCCAAATATTCAACAAAGAGACTGCTCAATCCAGCAAAGAGACATCCCAATCTAACAAAGACATATTCCCATATATTCAGCAAATAGACTGGCTGTCAGGGAT